TTAAAAATATTCAGAGATTCGCTTAGCTTAAGATTTCTTTCTAAACTATTCCATAATGACACTGTTCGATGGTAAAAAGTCCTTAGTCCTGTAGAGGTCTTGAAAAGAGGAATGTTTAAAAGTTGTGATTTTCGAGTCTCACGGCCACTTGTCTCCCTTCGCTTTAAAAAGAGCGACGAAAAGTAAGCGGGAGCTTGTCCGGTCATGTATTTAAAAGCAAGCACAGCGTCAAGCAGGCAGCGTAACTCTTTCAGGACTAGGGTCACGTGATCGAATTTTCTGTGACGAACTTTTTTGTGAAACGTGACTTAGCAAACTAAGTTTAAAAGTTGGAACCGCCATCCAACCTGTGTTTGTAAATCGGAAGTTCAATGAAGATCTTAAGGTGCAAGAAGCTAAGCCCTCCATTGTTACACAACAATGTGTAGTTTACAAATTTAAATGTAACCTAGTTGATGCAGGATATGTGGGGTATATGCATTGGCACCTAAATGAGCGTGCGGACGGACACAAAAGAAAGTCGTCCTCCAGTTACAATTACTACCAGTTCCAACGTAATGGTCGGACACTACATCGTTTTTAGAACAGTTACACGTACTTGGAAATGTACCAGCAAATTTGATTGCCTCATTTATGAGATGTTTTTCATACACAAAATCAAACCAGAACAGCAACATGATTGACACAGTTTGCGCTTACGTGTTTGTTTAGCTATCTAAGTAGTATGGTAATCTTCACGTTCTAGCCTACTTAAACATTCGCTTTCCTATATTTAATTTCTCTTGATAATGGCGTCATGATGACTCTGAAACGTAGATTATTAATTCTTTAAGCAATTCCAATTATAGGTAATAATAGGGGGAGGGGTGGTAAATCGGCTCCGGGGGAGGGGGTGAGAGAGTTCTAGCTACAATATTCAGATATCAGCTTTTTGCCTCATTAAGGAGGTAAAACATCTGACCGCGTCTTGACAGAGTTATGTTCATGCCATACCGCAAGCGACCGGCGTAATACAGTGGCTAGTCGACATCGCAACAAATCTAGCCAACAGCTAAGCTAGACGCAAAAACGATCCCCTTGTAATTCAATCGATCACCTGTTTGTTTCCTTTCAATTAAAGAACTATGAAAGAGTGGATAGAACAGATCCTACGGCACGCGCTCAAGGACGGCAGAGAGCCCGAGAAGAGAATGAAAGGGGAATGAGAGAATTGCGTGACGAGATGGAGAGAGATCGTCGACAGGCGTTGCTTGATGCGCAAGAATGCACGAAAATTGAAGGCGACGCACAGAGAAGACAACTGGCTCACCAAAGACGTGATGGGGAGGACCAAGAAAGGAATCAAAAGGAAGAAGAACGATTTTGTAAGCTTAAAGTCGCGCTGATGAATTACGACTTACAGACCAACCCAAGAATTAAGAAAGAATCTTTCCGAGATTTGGTGGTGGACGACATCGATGTGCTCAGCGTTGTTTTAATAGGAAGACCAGGCACGGGGAAAACCAGCTTTATAGGTAAGAACTTGTCTTAAATTGCCTGTTACGTGAATCATATTTTCTCGTGCTCTCGTTAGTTTAAGTGATTGGCCAACCTGATAGTTATTAATACACAGACCATTAGGGTAGATTTTCATTAGTATCCTAACTGAGGGTCTCGTTTTTGACTGACTTTACAAGGCACGTTGCAGCGAGCCATTGGACAGCCTCAGAGTGCTTTTGGTGACGGAAAAGGAAAAGAAGACACCATCCTTCTCGAACCATACTACCTGCAGAAAAATATTCGGATGCTGGACACCAGAGCATTCTTTGAATGGGACGAGAGAGCGCTGGAAGAGTGCCTGAAACTCATGTCTGGAAGGTAGCGGGTTGCTTTCGTTCACGTTCAGGTTTACGTTAGCTCAAAATACGATAGCGGTACGTCCAACATCTCGTTAGAGAGAAAGGTCTGACTGAGATGCGGCCTGAATAAAACTCCATTAATGTAGCGTTCCTCCCTACCCCCAGTTCAGTGTTGTTTTGATCTTTCAAGATCGATTATTGTGCTACCCAAAAGGGGAGGGGCAAAGGACAGTGTCACGGGTTGCGTATGTGCAAGATTGCTTTTCGATATTGGCATAAAAATGTCTCCTTAGAAGGGATATTTAGCCGTTCTGCGTTGTTTTAGAGCTAATAATATACAAACAGCAATTTCTGCATTCTGATTGGCTAAGTGCATGTCAATTTATCCCAAATCAGTGTAATTTCACCAATGCAAAAGGGTGAAATTGGAAATGATTGACAGCTCTTACAAAATTGAGCTGGGCCAAACAAAAAATGGCGGACAAAAATCAAACGAAGATTGAAACTCTTTACCTACATTTTAATACAAAGACTTCATAACAAAGCAAAGTACAAAGCTCAGCAAAAAAATACTAAACTAGTTATCTCGAAGTGTGCAAGAAGAGAAATATACTCAAAAGCCATGAGAACAAAAACATATACCGCAGCAGATCACGACGGCATTACAAAATCCCTGCTTAAAAAAAAAAAATTAAATTTCCAGTACCACGAAGCAAAGCTCAAAGAAGGACTCAACAACACGTCCTTAGAACCTGCTACATCTTACTTTTGAAGACGAAAATATTCTACTTTTGCGAAAGAACAAAGTTTAAAGATTAGGGAGGTCGTTCACCAACAAACTTAAGCTTCGCATCTTGGTATTTTGGTTAAAGCAACTTGTGATGGGTTGAAAAGTTTCTTCTCGGCGAACATTAGCTTAAACACGGCACAGCGTTTTGCAACCACCCGAGAAACATTTGGCAAAAAAGCTGCATCAAAACCGCAGGGAGTTTTTCTTTTGCTTCGTGGTCAAGTTCTACTCCAATCAGTCAAATTACTATTACTAATAGAGGCTGACTTTGTGTTATTGCCATTAAAGAATTCGACCAGGAGAAGTAATGTCTGGATACTATGGTGATTGCGGAATTATGACAAAGGAACAGCAACAGGGAAGAGCATATCGGGGTCGGACACACCGGTAAAACGAGCCCCGGCGCTTTCTAAATGCGCGCACGCCGTGATTTTTGTCCTAAAGGCAAACGATCCACGTCTAGCAGAGGGCTTGTTGTATGACAAACTCCAGAAGATCAGAGAGCAGTTTAAACAAGATGGTAATAACAATATTCACCAGATAGTTCATAGCTAAAGATATACCCAGCTTCGATGACAATTACGAACTGATTGGGGAGCACCGCTGGACTCTGGATCAAGCGATCCAGGCTCATGTCCTACTGCGGGGTCATTGTGCTGTGTTCTTGACCAAGAAAATTTATTGTCACAATGCTTCTCTTTAGGCAAGTGTTATTTTTTGGTACCGGAATTTAATGCTAGGGTGTCATTCCTTGCGATGGGCTTACATCCCTTCCAGGGGGAAGTAGAAATTCTCCTAGTCGCTTAATACATGTTTTAATGCTACGGAACCGGCGGTACGTGTGGGCCACTTGGCCCGACGCAGACTTTGCTTTTGACCTTCAATGACAAGGGCCAACGAGCATGGTTGTCCTTCGAACATATTACGTTGGGGAGATTTGCGCCATTCGAATTCTGAGTCATCAATCAGCCCTATTACTATTTAAGCGTTGCCCCATTTTACTGCCTATGCGCGTGTGACTGATAATCTTTTCATTACTTTACAGGTTATGCTCCTGTGACAGTTATTACCCACCTTGACAAACTAGAAGACAAAGAGGACAAAGATGAAGCTTTTGAACAGGCCTCCTGGGCAACTGGCAGCTCCAGCGAGAGAACCCACTTCATTGTAAATTATGTAGATAATGCCAAGCAGTCTTTTGAGGTGGATCGAGCCGCTCTTGATATTCTGGATTCTGCTTTGATCTCCGCTGAAAATTTTATCCAAATCCGCAAGCAGCGAGAGAAAAATCAGATAGAAAGGGAGGCTACGGCTGGAGGTAACAGTTTTCCGAACTCATGACTGAGGAACTTAAGGACGTTCGTGCGAAAATTTTCCAGTCGATAGATTTTTCTTCTAATTTTTACTGCAGACAGATAATGAGTTACTTGTGTCAGAAATGCAAAAAGAAAATCGGGGATCACCGACTTCGTTTCAGAGGTAAAGCGTGTGGAAAACTACCCTGATTTTGAAAAATTGGCTCACGTAATTCAGCATGGTCCAGAGGGGTTTACAGTTAAAAATATCGAATGTGAGTCAACGGAGGCAAACGATCTTAGTCATATTTTGTAGAAGTGAGTCTGTTTTGTGCGTGGCCAAAGTAAGTCAAAATGCAGTGACTGAGCTTCTTTAAGGTTACCACGACGCAACTAACGGCAACGGAAACGTCACGAGCTGTGGGTTAATTAGGCCGGTAACTTAAGCAGCGACGACGACGACGCTTACAACTACATCCAGTAAAAATTAACTTAGATTTTGCCCTCGAATTTCGCAATTGACTACATTCGTTTAGTACACTTATAGCTATCGGGCTAAAAAATTATTCAAGGTAAAATCTATAATGACAGCTTTAACCAGTTCTAAACGAGAAAAACGAAAAATTGGACCTCTTAGCTCAGATTCTCCAAACCAAGCAGAACTTGGTTATTACTCGTTACGACGGCAACGGCAACTAGACTGCCACCAAACGTAACACATGTCAAAAGGTTTAATGAACAAAACAATATTGCCTTGCACGTGGATTATAAATCTTAGTTTAATTCATAGCTGTCCTCAGCAAAAAAAAAACAACAAACAAACAAAATCAACAAAACAACGTAAATGACTAAGTTCAGCGTATTTGGGAGAACACGAAAAGCGGCGAGTAGTTTTTTTTTCCATTTTGAACAATTTTGAACGGACCTCGACTGCCACGATGTCAGGCTACACCAGTACGGCCCTCGCGCTCGGTTAGTAAGAGGTTAATGTTGTAATAACGTAACATATGAAAGGAAAAACGTGTTCAGAGTATTTCCTATGTATTAAGCTATTATTCGTTCCTCTGATATGTAGGTCAAAAGACGCAAAACAAAGCAAAGCCTTTGAGGCACTCTGGCTGCAATTCATGACATCCCTGGGATGACATCATAGACCTCTCTAATCTTATAAAATGCATAGTTTGGTTCAACGAGAAGCTCTTGTGTGCACAGCTATTAACAGTGCTCCGTTATTTTTCTGCCTTTCCCCAGGAATTTCCGGTGGCGCGGAGACTGTGGAGCAGTTCTTCAGTCGTCTTCAAAAGAAGTACTACTGGACTCACCAGGGAAAGATGAAAGCTGTGCAGGAAGCCTTGCGCCAGCAGGAGATCAGGACGACTAAAGTCCTCAAGGAACTGTGGGAAGACATCAAGTCTCAGCTGCCATTGTCACTTGGTATGATGATGGGCTTGGAGGAAGAGATGAAGGGTTTGTAAAGTGGCTATAACCAATGAACCCAACAGAACTTGATTTAACCGTCTAGGCTCTGTTAAATAGAAGTATTAGGGAGTTTAAGAAAGTCACGACGGCAACAGCAACGGGAACGTCACCAAACAAGAGGTTTAATAAGTAGAACAATAGCCATGCACGTGCGTTATAAATCTTTGTACATTTCTTTGACGTCCTTTGCAAACCAAAAATGTGAAATGATGAAGTTCTTCGTAGTCTGAGGAACGCGAACGACGACGACTAATTTTTCGTATTTCCGTTTCGAATTGAACGCTGTCATTGCGTATTTAGCCAGTTATCTAGACAATTGCGAATTTCGCTGGCAAATACAAATTCATTTTTGACTAGGCGTCGTCCTCGGCGTCGGCGTCGTCGTTACTTAAACTCCTCATGTTATTTTCGAACTTGAAACGGTTTTTTCGTGTGTGCAACACCCGGAGGGGTACTCCCAGAAAAGTTGGGTGGGGGTGAACCCTTACCCTATTTATGAGCAAACTCTACGATTTTTGCTACCCTAGTTATGACCTGCCGAAAAATTTGATACCCTATTCAGACCTTTGTAACTGGGACAGCTGCCCTAAACATAGGTTATGAAGGGCTTTTGTTGACGGTCTTACTGATAATGACGAAAAAGTAGCTTCTTCTAAGAAACATCCGCAAGACTAGAGTGCTAAAACCATACCCTATTATTATTATTTCTGATTTTAGAAAGTCACTGTCTCGCGCGCGGAGTAGATTTAAAGTTGGCTTTTTAATTACCGGACATAAAGAAAGCATTGCAGTTTATTGCTCTCTTATCTCCCGAGCGCCCTTGAATAGGACGCTGGCCAAAATAGCAGTTGATAAAACAGAAAGATCTGAAAAGGCATTTAATACTGTCGTGGAGTTCAAGTCCGCGCAAGGCAGGTTGTTGATTCCTGCTCAAATTACCAAGGCCCCGTCCACAGTACGCCGGGAGAATTTGAAATCGCAGCTTCATTTCTACGGTCAGGCCTACGGTCCACGCTAATCCGTCACAAAAACAGAGCTCTTCAAACCGGAGGAATTTGAAAACGCCAGCTTTGCGTTTGAGTGTGGACGGGAAACATTTTGAAAACAGAGCTTTTCGAAAACGATGACGTCACGATAATAAAGTGATTTCCCTGCCTGAGTTTTCCTCAAAGACGAATCCAAAATGAACGGTGATTGTTGCGTTTTCAAATTCCTCCGGCGTAGTGTGGGAGGAAAACATTTGATACGTTTTCAGCCGTGAAACCTCCGTTCTCAAATTCCTTCGGCCTTGTGTCAAGTGTCAAGTGTTATCTGTCAAGTGGTCGCTTACGGGAGGTGAATAACAAAAGAAACTTTCAAACTTTTAGCCCTAAAAGTGGTCGCGGTCGCTTACGAGAGGTGGTCGCTTATAAGAGGTTCCAAATATAGTGATTTGACTGGGAAACTTTTGGTACTTTGGAAAACTGGTCGCTGACGAGAGGTGGTCACAACTGGAGGTTCCACTGTAGTTCTGTTTGTCTATTTAAACAAACCCCTATTTAATCAAGTGTCTCTGTGTTTGCGAACACTAGTAAAATAGCAACACTACTTAACATACGGTACTTATAAAATAAGTACGACCACAGCGACCTCCTCTAGAGTATTTACAGCCACCCTCCCCTACTATTTTTCCATATTTCCGATGGAAGACCTGGCGCCCATTTGAAGCCTCAAGTTAACTAGACTGCAAAACAGTCGTAGTTTGCGAACGCGAGCGACGCGGGCGGTATTCGAACGAAAGGTCTGGAGCGAGTGTAGAAACGGTGCGGGAGGCTGGGGAGAGACGCCCTGGCTTGTGTTTTTCCCGCGTGAGGATCACGCTTACGGCGCTTTGCGCCTTCCGAAAAAGCTCGAATAGAGAAGAAAACACGACTGCCTTGCAGTCTACAAGTTAGCCAAGATTACGACGTCTGCAATTGTTTCTTGTAAATCAAACTTGCAATATCTCTTATTTTTGCCCTAAAAATACACCAATTTTGAACCACTGAGGCAAAAATTTTCAAGCAGGAGTCGAGAAAGAACATTTTATTCTATTCAGGCGCTTCAATGTTACTAGCATCCGCCATTTTAGAAAATTGCTGCTTTAGCGCTTTTAGAGATATAGAATATATTTTTCGAGTGGGAAATCCACGATCTGAATTGTTTCTGGAATAGAACTGTGCATTGCTTCAAGAAATAGCAAGGAAAACACAGGACTAAGCCAAAAAAGCTATGAATATTTCCAGATATCCCTACATTTTCTAAGTGTCTTCATATTTTCTAAATATCCTCAAAAGTAACCGAATATTTAATTTGTGGAAAGGCCTACTTTGACGCAACACAGTGGTTCTTTTGTTTTGCAACAGATTCGTTGCGCGTTCAAAGAAGTAAACTTACGTCTCCCATAAAATGACAAATGTTTTTCTGCAACTGACTTTTTTCACAGAAAAGGCTCTCAGGCGTTGGGAAGGGTAATGTGACAAGGAAACT